GCAGACAACGTACAACACTCCATGCCCCCAGCTGAAGCCATTGCTGACAGAGAAAATACAGTCCCTGGGACTGCCCTAAATAAAGTTGAACCAGCCTCTACTCCGGCACGCCGAGTCAGCTTTGATCATAATGAATCAAGTGCTGTTAAGCAAAACCCGAAGAGTGCAACGCAGCCGGCCGGTACGGTTGCAGTTGCCACGGCTGCCGGCGGCGGGAAAGGGAAAACCACAAACTCGAAAGACAAAAACGGCAAAGAAACTAAGAAGTCCGATAAGAAACATGGCAAGGACAAAAAATCCAAGAGCGAACCAGCGCTCAACGAGTCCGGTGATCCCGAGAAACGAAGAAAACGAGATAAAGTTGCCGACGCCTTCAAGAAGATCTTTCATCGAAAGAAGAAGTCCAAAGGCAGTAAGTATTTTTCTTCTTAAATGCTTTAGCCACATCTTCATAGGAATAAAAAAGTACTGATCACAGTTTATTCCCATCAGTTAGACAATTTTGTGCTCACCATATCAGTTAATTCCGTTTTGAATGCCTATGGGGCTTCTTTTGGAGGAAAAGGATTTTCTACTAAACCACTATGGCCTTCTGCTGTTATAAAATGTCACACGTCTGCAAGAGGAGATCGAAATATATGTAGCGAATCTTCTGAAACATTTGGCATTAGACTAAATTGGCGGTCCAATTACTTCTCTGTTCATTTTATCCTATAATATCCCCTTACCTTCGTGAGGTTTTTCAGTTCTATTGCTTTGGAAATTCAAAAATGATTGCAAGTTGTCTTCTGTAGTTGATTTTGGTGTCCAAAGTTCAGGACTTCAATTTCAGCCCAGCATTCATTGGACTCATGCTCTTACCGTTAATAATAGTCTCTTCATTGGTAAAGTACTTTAGTATAGGGCATTCTTTAAATTACGACAGAGCATTAATCGTTTTCTTTCATGCTATTGCTCTTGCAAATTATTTCAGGTTCGTTCATTATAAATGTACTTCGTCGGAATGCATTTGATGAAGCTTTTCACAACAAAATAATTATTTTACGGATTTCTTAGGCTTGGGGGGAGACGCTGGTTACGTTTGTTGGTTCATCAATTACCTCAATGTACGTGCTGCTTGCTAAAAGAAAATATGCTCTTCAAGCGAATTCACAGGCAGTGTGCATCATTCTTGTAAATCTTTTACTACTAAATCGAACGGATAACTTTTATTTTAGACGACTTTGTTGTTTTATATTGGGCGCTTGGTGAACTATATTTTAATGCGTTTTCTGGCCCTTAAACGCTTCGTCTACGTTTAAGCGGTGAAAAACATTACAAAATTTTGTGATTACCAATGCATTTGATGAGGTTCTCTTCGACTAATCAACTAAAAGATTATGCACGTGCATTGCAGTCGTATACACCATATATATAAATATATAGCAAAGTAACACAATCGGGCATTTTGTAAAAAATTATTTTAAAGTAAGTGTATATACAGTCATACGGTTTTAATATTCTAAAAGGGCCATTGCAGCAGACGCAACACACTTCTGCACGCCAGTATTTCGAACAATGAAGAAAACTCAAATGTCCCGTGATTTTAAACTTCTGAATGAGTTTGACTGACATATGGTACATAAGTTTCCGTATGAATACGAGCAAGGATGCAGACTTAATCTGGAATAAGTATACTAGCTATCTTCCCCAATGTTATAATTTCCGTTTCAAATGCTCCTCTTCTCATTGCAGAAAACGTGGCCTCGAGCAAGCCAGCAGGAACTGGAGCTGGTGCTGCTGGAGCCGCTGCTGCTGGTGCCGGTGCTGCTGCTGTTAAAGCGTCGGCCGGCGCAGGTTTAGAGCACCCCATGACTGAATTACCCGACGACTCGGAGTATGAGTCGGATTACAGCTCCTCGGATTCCAGTCTTTCTCTAGACAACGCGCAGGTAAACAATCCTGCGCTTGCGGCCTCCACGCTACATGGCGATGAACCCGCGCTGGAAGGCAACCACTCAGTTGCATCACTTACGACAGACAACAGCGCATTTTATCCAAGACATATTGACATGCCAGCTGCAAACACAGGCACCGAACCACATCCAGCTGCGGTGCCTGTTGCAGCTCCACTGGGCCGAGACCGTTTACACAGCAGGAGCTCAGATGACCATGAAAGTAGCAGCGGAAGTAGAACGAACAGTTTTAGCAGCGACTCCGCCAGACATTCGATCAAAGAGGAAACCCAAAAGGAACCAAGGC